AGGATACATTTCTCTGATAGGTCGTTGACAATATAAAAAGTTTGGAAGTTAGATCTACCTTGAAAGTAAACTGGTAGAGATACAACACCATAGATGGTAAATTTTGAAGAATTAGCGACACGTAAAGTGGTTGTTGATGTACTAACGGTATACTTTTTATTGTTTGGTAGGGACAGGAAAACCCTAGTATCAAGTAAACAAACATCGGATCCACCATCAAGCAGGGCCTTGGTATTCTGTCCAATGATTTTGGTAGTTATTCGTAGAGGGGGAGATTTCATGATCGTGGTATCTTCAAACTTATCTTCATCATTGGTACATGTTGACGAAAAATGTGACCTGGGGGTGGGACACTGCCTTGCTATATGTCCGATTCCACCACAAATCTGACAGATAATACGACTGGATCGTGTGTTGTTCTCTGAGCGATACAGGTAATTTTGGGAACTCGGTTTAACATCTTCACGCAGCCACTGACGTGTTGGAGATGATGGATGTCTATAATAATCATGACCAGAATACACTGGATATTGATAAGGTGGTGAAGGACCATGATGCATTTGTTGATATCGCTGAGGAGATGGAGTCCGAAATCGCCTGGTTGAGTCATAGGCGGGTGAATAACTTCGACTGTTCGAGAGCTTTCTGGATGGAGAATGGTCACGAGAGTTTGGTGAAAATTGATAACGTTTTGTCGATTTTTGTGAGCTATAGCAGTTGTCATAAGGCTGGTTGTAATTGGTTCTATATGGGGATGGAGACCGTTGACGGTGGGTAAACCTTGGGCGGGATTCATAGTTCGCTGGCGAAGGTGATCGATGCCCTGACTGGTGACGCTGTTGTTCGGTGGAATACTGCGGAGTTGGACAATCGCTGTGGTTATGGCTTGAAGGTAACCTTTTTTCACGTTGTGACCTGTCGGGGTCTTCTTGGTATGTACGGTTAGAGGCTACAGTAGGACTGTCGATCTTCTCCAATGCGGTCTTAGTTTTAGCAATATGGATAATTTTAGGTAAAGATTTTAGCAATTTCGGTTTATGCTGAGTGTGCTCAAAAATATACTTTCTAACAGAGTCAGGTATAGCAGATAGAAATTTATCAATAACAATAGCTTCTAAAACACTAGAGTCAAAATTATAATATTCTCTGGCCAAAATCTGTAACCTGGCGGCAAAAGCTTCAAATGTCTCGGTGTCTTTCATTTTAGCTTCATTAAATAAGATTCCAGTTGTATGATGATCTAAAGGACTAACGAATTTATCTTTCAACATAGAAATGATGTCTTCATAGTTGTGTTGTTTATCAGTAGGCATAGCCTCCCAGCTGGTTTTTGCATGTTTTTCAAGCAATAAGGACAACACTTGACCTGCATAAGGGGTATAAAGTGGACTGTTCAGGGCTCTTTGAACTTTGTTTAACCAGTCTTTTAAATAAATGTCAACATCAGGTTCTTCACCTGAAAATGTCCCAGTAAACTCCTTCACTTTTGAATAAATGTATAAATGATCTCTGACTGGGTTGGATGTGTTGGATTGAGTGGTGGGTTGCCACTGTTCAGCTGCTAAGCGTTGACGGAGATCTGCCAATTCTCTTCTAAACCTATCCTGTTCTTGTTGGTGCAGTAGTAAACTGCTTTCCATCATGTTTTGTAATTTCTCAACCTCGGTAAGTTCCTGTTCTGTACGACCTTTTGCCCCAAGTTGTTCTCCGTGGGTTGACATTTTAAATATTAAAGCCAATGTGTTACTATTAGAATAACAGAAATCGAAGGTCGGACAACTAGCCGAAGAGGTTTGCGGTATCACTAATGTTAAAAAGAAAAAATAATGGACAAACATACAAATATATATAGTGATGAAAACAATACTATTACTGGATATCAAACGTCAATCAGAGTCTATCAATCAAATGACACACACGTAGTCCAATGCATCAACATACATGACAATATGATATACAAATTACCACATTACAATTATTATGAGGAACACAATATTCATATTATTTACGTTACATACAACATCAACAATCGAACAAAATAAAACTCAAGACAATAGAGTCTATAAAAATTGAAAATAAAATACTTGAATATTTTATTGCGGTATGAAGTCCATAAAACACACAAGTGTTCTGTTGTGGTCTGGTAAACGACTGACTAAATGATTCTTATAGAAATTGAATTTAAATAAGACACCATGAGTTTATTATACTGTCGATTCACGGGAAAAATGTTCGAGCATTTCGTCGGTGGATCTTCAATTCGACGAGTGAACGTTGTACTCACTGGCAGTTGACTGACAATAATAAATCGTCACTTCTTATAATCACCAATTATCAAAAACGTCACTGGAAATATTTGAAATATATCACAGCTTAACTCATGTCACAAGTTACTGATTATTCATCGAACAATACTCAGAATCCTGGTTCGGCGGCGAGCTGTTAGTAAAGAAGCACAGGCCTTCTTCTTTCTTCGACTTTGAACGACTTTTCTTTACGAAGGTTCTTCATTCTCGTTCACACAAGTAAATTTCACACACCTCCGTGACTATCGGGGACGCCAATTTGTCGTACCGTTGGTTCGAACTCAAGAAGGTGTTCAGCTTCGAATGATCTTTATTACAGTTTTACATTACATAAAATCTGACAATGCTTGTCCTGTCTTCCATCCTCACTCACCGCCAACAACAACAGCCCAGCGCGTGTCATACACCCTTCTCATTGGCTATCTCTCCCTGCACTCACCGCAATACCTTATATGGACATACAAAAGGAGTAAAGGTACATTCGCACGGCTTTCAGATTAAAGGTGCATTCACACATTTACTGTTTGTCACACAGTGTTAAAAATATTATACCTCATTGTTAGAGGTCAACTAGAACTTGAGGACAAGGTTTTAGCCTGCCAAGGTAGATCCAGCACTGGACGTTATAATCCTAAAGCCATGGTCATTAAAATACATGTTTGTTTAAATATTGCTGTTTTTGGTTCTTGATATAATTCATTAAGAGAATTACTACTTTTGAAAGAAGCAACGAAAGAGAGAAAAACAAACTGTTATTCATAATTACAACTGTGGATTTTAAATGATTTTATGAAAGTATTTTATATATTTTTAAAAACTAAATTTATTTGAGTTTATATAAGATATAAATGAGTAAAAGAGATTACACCATGAGGCTATCATATTTCGATAAATCTAAAAGAGCTATAAAAGAGCTTAAAATAAATTGAAAGAATATAAATACTCCGTCAGAGTTAACAAGAAGTACAGATAGTTCAATACAAGGTACACATCTGAGATTCAGTGACTCAATGCTATTCGCTAATGGAAAGGGTCTATAGGCTAAGTTGGTATCCATGTTTAACAGAATTTCAATGGCTTTCACCACATCAAAGTCGAAAAATCTATTTCCTTCGTCTTAGCCCGAATTTGTCAATACTTGCCATGGTTTCATCTCTTCTTTTCCAGAATCAATCACAAAGAAATTGTGCTACCGTTTTATTTCGATTATTTGAGGGTTTTAATAAGATAAGAGTTTGTTAAAATCAAACATAGTGTAAGTGGTCTTTTTAAAAGTTAAACAATATAACTGTTTTTTTTTTTACAAGTTTTAGTCCTTCATTCTTTAGTCTTCTGTTGTAAACCTCATTTTTACTGATACTGTATTTATACAAGCAACGTCCATCCTCGTCATTTATATTGTCACATGGATTGATTGAGGTGAATCACACAGCTTCTAGATTTTAGGACAGGTTTGTTTCGGGTCTAACATCACTGTAACCCTTGATAATTGAGCATCACGCATAATCGATCCAACTGTAGAAACAAATTCCAATAGAAAAAATCGGCAAAATCGTTCAAAATCCAATGGAAAATGTCAAATAAAATATATTCCGTAATGGTAAGTGGAACTGGTTGCTCCCTACATTATAATCGCCATTTGCCACTACTTTTCTGAAATCAGTCGACAGTCTATGATGCGATATTTAATGTGAAACTCTTGATTTTACCTAAGGGAAGTAGATATGTTTTCAAATGGGCACGATCTGTACACATATTACAGCCCACAAGGGAAGATAAACAGATTAATGTTAATTTGAGGATTCTATGACAATGGGACCTATCCAATTCTCGTGATCGATGCTGTAAATCCTACATGATATATTGTTTACCAAAACAGCAAGGCGTATGTCTACTTTTCATCGAATTATGTCAAGATTTGTTTAAAAATGTCAAGCCAATGCCGCCATAGGTCGACATTTTTTCGTGCCGTCCGAAGTACTAGGCATTAACTTCATTGTCAGCCTCACCAGCATCAACCCTGACAAATTGGAATCGGACTTGAAAAAATCCAGAGAGTATTCTCGTGCCACACCTGGGATTCGAAAGAAAAAAATAATATGGGGTTTAACATCCTACTGTTCTGCTCCGACTGGACTAATGAAGATGGACATACGCCATACGGTGTGCTATAGGGAAATTTGCCTGGACAACGGCGCTCTGGTCTATTCTCGGTTTTTGATCCCATCCGAACGACTATACGTTGTCCCTTGATAGGTCATCTGTCCTGCACCACTGACAAGGGGGAAGCACGCTGGGAAATCTCAAAGAACTTTCTCGGCCACACCGGGATCGAAAACTGGACCCACAGCTTGGCTAGCCAACGCCTTACTCGCTGAGCCACCGTGCCCCAACATCTGGGTGCGACCAGGGGAGTATTTCAGTCCAATTCTTTATCCATTCGTCCACCAACCACGCCCTGTGAAGAGTACACTGAAGACAAGTACTAACGCACAGTAAAACCTACTTGTACTGACTATTATCATACAATTCAGATTCATTGTCGCCTGTTTTATTCTAGACAGTGGTATGTGAATACGTTAACTTTCATTTAAGTCAAACAGATAAATAAAGAGATATAAGTACTAGTGATATATTTTATATACAATAGAGAACAATACAAGTATTTGATATAATGACAATGTACAAGGTGGAGAAGAAAATACATTATTGTGATAATCATATATTATATATGATTTTATATATTGACCCAATTGACACATTTATTATCATTCATACATAATTCATATAGATTCACAACCTCTAGTCTGATATTAACACAAGAAATACCTACATATACAAGCAATTTATATATCTACAAATTATACCGTTTACGACATATTTTTCTTTACATTTTCTTTTAACTGTTGACTTTTGTTTTAAAAGATTGATTCTATTAAATTCAATTATTCAACTATTCATTTGATTATGAAGCTCAGTTCGAATTGAATACTTTTTCACTCTTGGAAATAGTCTCCCACAAATGGAAAAATTATTACATGCAGGCGCCTCACATACCGGCCAAAATGTTCATAACCACATGAAAGGGCCAAATGAATTTGAAGTTAAAATTTTATTTAAATACCCTTTCACCATAACATTTCAACACTGAAAACATATCTTTTATTATGTCATTGGTAGGTATGCGTGATTGTCATTTTAACTATTACTATTTTGCAGGAATCAATGGCCCTCTCTACATTTGAGCTAGGCTGAATAGGCAATATTAAAAAAACAAATATACGCACAATAAAAATCCATGTTATATCAGATCAGGTATAGTATTAAAAACAATTGGTTAGATGTATAATATGTTATCTTAGATGAAATGGGGTCTAACGCCCTACTGTTCAGCTGTAAAGGAAATTTTTTCCCGGTCAGCGGTACTACGGCCTACTCTTATATCGAATTCCAACTGCCAAGGGTTCTTTAACATTTACGCCAATGTATACAATGTGTACATCAGGTATAGTATTTGAAAAATTTGGCGAGCTTTAGAATCTGTCCACTAATCAGATTCACCGTACGAGTGAAGATTCCAGGTTATCTCGTATCGAGTAAAGTAATAGAAAATAACTGGTGGTCAGATTCGTCCTCATTTAATGATAGAAATTATATATGAGTGTTCTTTAATCAATATTAACTGTTCAATATAGCAAGCTGATCAAATATAGAGAAAGAGATGGATTAATACGGCAATTGATAGCCTATAATTATTTTTGTCACACATCTAGAATTTTAATCGATCACAGTGATCGACTTGTCTTGAAAAATTGCTCAGTGCAAGACGATTTGTTTGGCTATAATCTGTCTGTCTTTGAATCCCTTGGTATTTCAAGTAAATGGGCGAACAATTGTTAGGACCTATATTTCAAAGATTATCCTACCGATTTTGTCGCGTTTCTTCCTTTGATATCCAGGCGCTGATCTGTTTTCAATCCACCCTAAATCAATATACTGTCAGGGCTCAGAAAAAATACAAATTTTGGTTGCATTTAAAGAAGCAAGGGTCATTATCAACATAAATACGTTATAGATCGTAGTGAGGCGCATACTTTTATGGAATGCTTTCACTAAGAACGGTATTTAAAAATCCCCGCTGAACAGCAGTACAAAAACAGACATTAGGTTGAAATGAGAGGAGGTTGATTCATCTTCATAATGTTTCGGGTTAACAAACCCTTTATGAAATGAGTAGGGATTTTTAAATTTCTATTAATACTCTCTCCACCGGTATCATCGTTTGATCCAGCAGCTACACAGAGCTACCGGCCTGCCCAACCTCTGCTACTTCATATTTACGAAAGCTTCGAAGTTATGACCATGGGAACTGCCTGCTTTGGGCTCTTCTGCTTGTACTGCTTTGTATACATACGATATCCGTAATGATACATCAAATAATAAACAGAGATGAGACATGGCAAATGACTGGCAAGTGTGGAATTGTAGAAACTAAATGGACGTTTGAAAATATGTTCACGTGATCACAAATATAATCCACCATCTTGAAATCATCGGTGCTACATTAGACGCAGTGAGATCACACAATCACAATATTTAAAAGCACCCATTTTTGGAAAAATATATTATGTGCACAGCTATATATACATTGTATACAATCTAGATAAAGTAAAAGATGGATATGTTATGTACAATTTAAATATATTTTGTGAGAATATATTTTAAATTAAGATTCTTAGTGTGAATAATAAAGATATGTTAGGTAACAAAATATACACCCACCAAGAGCTTTGTCAGATTATGACCACTGGCAATTGTGTGTTAAAAACAGTCTACAGTGATCGAGGGCAGCAACTTTTGCAGTCAATATTAGAAATGAAATTCGAAATGACAAGTTCCACTAAGTGATTTAAGAAAAGAAAGTGCAAATAGATCGAACAGTTTGTTTTTGTCAGTACAGAGTTTATAATAGTGTGCAAAAAAGATCAAGGATAATAAATTTAAAGATATAATCAGCATTTCAAAGGAAATTTTCGTTTCACTAAAGTAAAAGGAAAGGGTGGATCCAGGAATTTTTGCAAGAGGGGGTTTGCCAGGCCCCTGTTAAGGAAATTTGACTGCTGACAATGTACGATGCCGTCATCGTCTCTACACATTGAGATTTTTAAAGAGAGAAATCCAACATCTCGTTTAATGTCAATTTTTATAATGATCCACCCATGAAAGGGTGGAATGACAATCGACCGGAAAAAACAGAAATGAAATGGGGTTTAACGTCCTACTGTTCTGCTCCGACTAGGCTAATGAAGACGGGCATACGCCATACAGTGTGCTATGAGGGAAATTTTGCCCGGACAGCGGCACTATGGTCTACTCTTATATTGAATTCCAACTGCCAAGGGATCTTTTACGTGCATGCCAATGATACACGGGACCTCGAGTTTTCGTCCCATCCGAACGACTAGACAGCTATCCTTGTCAGGCCCTCCGTCCTAAACTTTCTCGGCCTATCCAAGGATCGAACACCCGTCCTCCAGGCTAGGGAGCCCGCGTCTTACTCACTTATCCACCGTGGCTGTCAGGAAAGACAGAGTGACAGAAAGACAGGAGCAACGACAATATATGATCACATAAAATATGGGTGTATAAAAAGTAAGCTAAACATTGATGCTTTGATATGTTGAAATAGTTTTACCCAATATATAATGCGATTTTATTTCTTGATTTAATATTCATTTTATTTTTACTTTACATACAAATACGATGGGAATTCATGAAGGGGCTTGAAATGGTTGAATTTATGAACAGACCGGAACTTATTTGTTCTGCTCCGTTTCCTGCTTTGGCGCAAGTTCTTTAATGAATCCGGTTGTCAGTGGAAAATCTACTCTTAATTATCTGTAGATAATTTGAAGCTACGCCTTGTATCAAAACTAGTAAACTATATCTTATGCTACCTTAAAACACACTTAACAGACATGGCAGCATACCATTTATTTAGTTCTAATTCAAATTTGGCGCCATCACAACAGGCACGTGGTATATGATCTGGATCTTGATTACTGGACCGCACTTCCGTTCCTGGCTGATAACACACTGGACGAATGTGAGTTTTGGGCTGAAATATGAATCAATATTAGTTTATGATATTTTAAGATAAACTTGAGGGATAATCCATCAAAAATATTATTAGTGATTGAAATCCACAATTTCTGAGCATAATCGTAACCCGCGTGTGCTAAGGGTAATTTGTATGGGCAGGGTATAGGTAATTTGCCAGGACAACGGTGTCTCGAACTACTTTCTCTTCACCAAATTCTAACTGTCATTGGTTCTTTTACGTGCATGCAAATTTGTACACGGGTCCCATCCGAAACTAGACATGTCCTCCCTGGAGAGCGGGGTTGGATATCCGAATGGTTAGCGCGTGCGCGCTGCATCATAAGGTATATCATTGAGTCAACTGGTGTGGTTTCGATTCCCCGGTTGTACGTCACAAGGAGTAGGGTCGCCTGTCCAACCACGTGGATTTTCTTCGGGTCCCCCGGTTTCCTCCTACTGCTAAATACACCTACGCGCAAGCGAATTATTGAAATAAAATTAAACCAAATGTTAGTCCCGAAATGACATAGTTTGTATCGAGTGGACGTTAAACCCCATTTCTCTCTCTCTCCTCCCTTGAGAAATCCCGAGATTTTTTTACCAACGCCAATTGGAAAATGGGACTTGATAGTTGAGCATCAAAATTCCCTACCACGATCTACACCAAAATGAAGTGGGGCTAGTTTCGCGTAGAAAATATTTTAAAGAAGGGTATTTCATCTACATTAAACAAAAATTATACAATGCCAAACAATATCCATTTTGAACGTAGTTTTTTTTTTTTAAAAAAAACATATGTTTCATTATGGTATTTAATTAAGACCTTTAAGCATCATATAGGAAGTGATATCGTTTGAATATTGTCTGTTCAAAGGGATCAGAGAATAACTAAACAAATTGTTTTGGAATATAACTGTCTTTTGTCTAAGACTAATTTCCTTGTACAGACAGATTTTTTTCAAGTCTAATTGAGTAAACATTTATTTTTAGAGACAGTGACGACTAAAATAGCTTCAACAAATCAAGTATCGCCGGGAACCATAATATAATGACATTGATATAAATAACAAATCTTTTACATAGCAGCAATGCACATCTAGAGGTGATACTAATAGTTAAAAATACATTATGGGAGATAAGATAAAGAGATGGCAGTTCTCGCTATAATAGTTAAAAACTAGATAGTGTAAAGGTAATTTGCTGAAAATTTCAGTCAAATTGATCCACTCTCAGCCGAGAAAGAAGCGGGGGAAAGTTTTGCATGGTCTCGGTCATCATTACTAAAATCATTAATATAAACAGCATAATCTCGATTATCCACTTTTTTTAAATTTAATTATCAATGGCCGTTAGCGGCATATAGGAATCTAATCCAGCCAACATCGAAGGCTAGCCTTGACATCGAGAGTTTATTATGGTCTGGATAAGTTAATTAATGTCTAATTGATAATTTAGATAACATTTCAGGCCTAAAGAAAGACTTGTAATAAGCAGATTTTGCTCTTGCATCATGCATGTTTAAATCATGTTAAAATACCCCAGCCAGCCTTTTAAATTCCCGTCAAATAAAGTTATTCTGAATGGAAACTGAACAATGTAACGGTACAGAGAAGTAGAAACCTCGAACATTACTTTTCCAAATAACTTTTCAGTTCTTGGTCTTGTTAGCAACCCGAGGCACTTGGGCATAGTGGGTGCGGAGATTGATGACCGGAGGGTGTGTGTGTGTGTGTGTGTGTGTGTGTGTGGGGGGGGGGGTTGTCTTCTCCATGCGCGATAAAATGGAGATTTCAATATTAGCGTATCTTTCACTTTCGATCTGACACCAGACTCAAAAAGCATTATGACAGACGCAGTGTATAGAAAATAACATATTTTATCTTATGTCGTTTTTTGAAACACCAAATCGCTCTAAAAGCCGCTTTAAACATATTGTATAGTTGGAATGAGTATTCAGCTGTCTTTTGCACTGCTTCTTTATTTATTGTTTTTACACTTGTAAGATCAGTTTTAGGCACCGTAGCCAATTATAAGAAAGTTTATCATAATTCGTGCCATTCAACACGAGATCTTCTGACCAAAATCTAATCTAATAAAAACACCAGTATCAGTATTATTTAGTAATATTTAATTTTCCGATAAACGGTACAGTTACCATGAATCTAGAATTATTGCAATTGAATATTTAGATCTCGGGGAATAAGCCTAATTTAAAATCAATAAATCGTTAGGAGTTACAGTATAAATGGCAATGTTTGTTTGGTGTTCTTGTTATTACAAGTAAATAAACAAAAGATTGTTTAATGTTTATATTATTTTAAATTCTTAATCTAAGATACATACCATACAACGGAAACGAAATCCTAAAGCTACCTCAACTGGGATCACTGCTACAGTTTCACTTCCGTTACAGCACTTCATTTTTGAACACGTCACAGAAAACTGTGCATTGTTTGTTGCGTATCCGAGGGTACCGTTACAACATTCTGAATCCTGTGATATTTTTGAACGACCAATATCTCTGACTACCTGAAAAGTAGAAATACATTAAACATTACTTTGTTGTTTAACTTCCACTCAACACAAACTATGTCATTTTGGTACCAAAATATGGTTCATATGGTTCATTTTAATTCACTTGCGCCTAGAGATCTTGATCAGTGGAAGGAAACAAGAGGTGCTAAAGAAAACCCACAAAGTTGGACAAAACAAAACTCAATAAAGATCTAATTTCAGTTAAATTGTAGAAGGAAGATTCGTGTATGTCGAATATCTGTTAGAGTGTAGAAGAACTGTTGGTTTATGTCAGTGAAAAAAGCATACGTTACCCCAAACCCCACACCAAGTGATGCCTGGATTTGATATTATGTTTATTGCAATTTGTTTTTAATATCCATTGTGATTTTATAGCAATAAAAAAGAGTATTGTAGGGCTCAAGACTCTCCTTACTCCTATTTATTAATCCGCCCACATAGAAAAAACATATTAAACATGCGAGGAATCGGAATCTACGGAAACTATATCGAATGTAGCACTGAGAGTATGGCGATGTGTCATATTTTCCCAAGAGCCGCCGCTGTCGATTAAACAGGGATTCGGTAGGCGTTAAAGAATCTGAGAAGGTGTATATAGGAATTACACCCTTTGAAATAAATCCACAGTTAATAATATTGGTTTATTTGGTATCTATGGTTATATCACCCTTAGATTGTCATCCAACACTTCACTGACAATAGCGATGTCCATTTAATGTCATTATTAGGAACACCAGTCTAACGGATAGATCATATAACTGTCACTCCAATTATACCTGAAAGTGACAACTCCGTAAAATCCTAATCACACCATGTTGGATGGTTTTGTGTGATTCCGACAAAGAAGTCCATTTGACTGTCAGTTATGGTTATGAAAATATGTCACTGGAAAGTTACGGGACAAAAAATCGTATTACAGTTGGCTTTTTGTAAGGTGTACCTTTTTATTTCGAAACTGTCATTGATAGTAACCAGCCCGTGTTATATTGAATTCATGTCGAAAATATTGACGAGATAGACAGACATTTCGTGACTTCACCAAAAGTTGGTATCAATTTAAAACAGTTGTATCAGCCGGGGGCAGCGATTTCGTCAACACACCGTAGATCCCAGACAATCTAAACCAAACCCGGCCCCGCCATGCAAATAGCTCTAGTAATGTGGGGAGATTTAATATGAAAGTCGGCACCAGTTGAAAAGCGCTGTAAGAGCCTAGGGCAACTGTCTCGACATAGTCAACACTAGAGGAAATTAATCTTAAACTCTACTTTTTACATTTCAAAAGTTCGTCTGGTCGAAAACACTGCCCTCGCCGAGAGATTATATGTAATCAGCAAACATGGAAACGGGAATTCGCGCCGAATCTATTGACTGACGTCTAATTTCCCGGGGGGTGTTACACCGTAACTCCTCCAACCTAAAATTAGCCCCAACGCGCTGACGAAGCAACTCTTTTTTATTTACACAACCCTTACTTACGGTTCTCATCTGTTCCAAGATCTCTTATTTGATTCAACCTGGTTTGATTCAATCAATGGACGAGGACTCGATAAGGTTTTTGATGTTAAAAATACGTCAATTGTTCAATAGAATATCAATTAAGAACAGAGACAAGTCAAGGGTATAAGATAAAACAAGATGGTACTATTACACAATCTCCTCTAGCAGAAGTCAACAACTTGACATACCACTTGAGACCGCCTGTGTCTCACTCTCGGCATAAGATCTCGGACATGACTGATTACAGATGCCAGCAGTTTGGAAATGATATTTATAGGAGAAACACCAGACATATTTCAGAGAATAAAACTGGTTTATTCTGAGTGGAAAGATCTTAAAAGCCGTTATAGAAGTCACACCCATATGACTCGATCAGTGTGATAACTCTTCGACGAAATAACAACGTCTAGTTTTCAGATGCATAGAATTGAAAACTACCAACAACCTTGTGCCTGCAGGATAAACCTTTCTATAACCTGTGGTTCCAATATTCTTCTGGGCCCTTATTCACGAAAACTTAAACTAAGATACAATCGAAATTTTAAGCAATACCGCAATTCGATTGGCTGACCAGTAAAATCAATTTGCATATATCCAATCAAGTTGCAGTATTTCTTAAAATTTCGGTTGTAACTTAGTTTAGGTTTTCGTGAATAAGGGCCCTGCTTTCCAGCGAGTAATAACTTTTTCATTGTAAAGTTTACAAACGATATCAAATTTTCGGGAGCGCTCTAACAATCTGACGTATACACTGGTTCGAGCGTATGTTAAAGCTGAATTCCGATTACAAAACTACAGAAATAATCAAATAAAAAAAATATTAACGCCCTAAATAATCGCCATACTTGTTTTCAAAGTTGTAGAACAATCATGTCGATTGTACGGACTACTTGTTGATGTCCATAGAAGTTAATTGTGGTGATTATCTACGCTAAAATGTAAAGTTATGTTTAAAGAACACCACCAACACAAGTACACCTATAAGCATTTCCCCTGGACACGCTTATTTCCCCTGGACACGCTTATTTCCCCTGGGTACGCTTTTTCCCCTAACAATATGCATTTCCAATATTACCTGACTAATAGTCCCGTTTTTGAACATCTCACGTGTTTAAACAAAAATTCCCATTCAAATTACCATTCTACGCTTTTGTGGACTTTTGTGTAATATTCAGAAGATCGACTGAGAGCGTTTTTTAGCGGACGTGCAACGGCGGGCGCCATCTGACTAATTTAATAAAGAAATTATTGGGCGTGGCTTAGATCGAGGATGATGCAAGATCATCGTTTCGAACTACATGCAGAGAGTTTTACTTCCAGACCATCGAATTAAAAAAATCATCGTGCATGCATCTATGAATTATATTATGTCGTAGGCTAAATTCCGAACGATATTTTATTTAAACAGCGGTGGAACTTTTTACTAGTAATTGAAAATGCTTCTGTAATAATTAGCTCAAACAATTTATTCTATTAAATGTTAAAGGTTCCGCCAAAAAGCAAATACAATGTGCAAATTAAAACATTCCATCCATCATCGAACGTGAAAAATCAATGCTTTCAACGATCCAAGTCTTTTTAATCGACCAACAAAATAGACTTTTCGTTAAAACTGGAATAGTGATGTAATAGATTTTAAAGCGAGGTAATTTTCCAATTTGAATTAATCTACGGATTGACAATTTTATTGAAGCGAGTTTTATTGTATTTAGATCTAAAAACCATTTATATTTATGTCCCCGTGTTCATTAGCCCAGACGATAATCTCCAGTCGCGTCATTCATTATATTATACCAAGTGTCGTATTCGCACAAAATTGATACTCGATGATCGGTCTTTGTGTTCCATATATTTAGAGAGAATAATCAATCAGCGTATTAAAGTTAATGATCAATAATAATAATGAAATTTTAACTGCTTAGGTGTAGATATGTCATTACCTTTTCAAACCATTAATGATAGGTCTTTTATCAACGAGAAACACAATACACCATATTAATATCTCGGATATTTGAAACGGAAGATAATTGATAAAGCACCATCTAGTACTATAAATGATGGAATACATAGATAATTCGGATGAATAGTTTTCACTTGAGCTATGATTATAGTTATTTGATTCTCGTGTAACTTGTCGAGTTGAGATGTAATCACTTTATGACTATAGTCGGTGTATAATAAATGGCATCTATAAATTTACATATTCAGTCATAAAACTGTACCGGGGACATTAAAAAAGACCAAAAAACATTAATCTCATAGTCTGGTATGGTAGTGTGGTCATCATAAATATAATACACAGACGATTAAAGTTCCAGGCTGGTTGGTATTCTGGGTGAATCAGTTATGGCGTTAATCAGCCTGAAATACGACTTAATTAATCGTAAGAAGTAAATGTAAGGGAAGGTCCATTAATGTCTTGTTATTATAGTCTAAACCAAACCAAGCAGAAATAATTAACCAACAAATAAATCATCCAGTGATCTATACTTTTAACCTATCAGTTATAAATTATAAATATATCTGTTGTTTTTTTGTACTCGAGACAGTAATGATAGCAAATTATGTTAAGTCAATGACGTGAAGCCCAGTTCTTACTATCAATAGCAGCAGCTTTTGTTTCCTGTAAAACGCCTCTACCGATGTAAACTATGGTAAATTAGCTCAAATTAAGGCACGAAAGGTTTTTAATTTGGTAACAATGACCGACATATAGTTCTAATGATTCGTGTAATGTGTTGAAACTGTCTATATACTCTCAAAGGTGTGATGGATCGTTGGTACTTTTTAATATAACCCTGTTACTTTCTCAGTACATCAAAACATCTATCATACACTTGTATTTTGCAGACAGTGTGTGGGGGTGGGGGTGGGGGTGGGGGTGGGGGAGGGGTTCAATCAGTGGCCACCACCCTCTCACCTAAACCTCCATACAAATATATAGGTTTTGTCCACGGCGTTACAAATAAAATACTAAAAATCGGTCAATTACCAAAGCAAATTGCACTATTTCACCGAATATATGGACAGTGTTTGCCTAGCTCAGTATCGTGGACACGAAATGTGCCCCCCCACCCCCCGTTCAAAACTTATTGAATCTGCGTTAGTACGGACATCACGCAACTTAGTTCTGGTAAAAGATACAGTTTTATTTAGTACACTTTTAGAAGATATGAGGGTCTGTTAACCGCTATAAGCTATTTAATCATACGATAGCTCAACAAATTTAATTGGACAAGTCGTTAGTCCTTCAATGGTTACCTCTAATCTATTTCAAACGAGTCTTAACATTTTACTAGACTGGACGTAAATATATATACATTAAATTCATTGATTTTCTATTAAATGTTTTAATGCTGTGTTCTGGTTTTGTGAATTGCCTTTCATGCTTACCTACCATGATGCGCTTTTATCATGCTAGATGGCCATTTGCTTTATGTTTTGGCTAAAAATACTTGCTACAGACAAAACATATCACTTTATATATTCACATC